CAATGCATTGAGTTCAATTCTTGTGAAATCAATTAGTTCACGTATTCTAATACCTGGTACAGCTTTAATTCTTTGGTTGTGATGCTTTGCAAGTTGCTTGGCAGTTACCATAGGGTTCTTGTTATCCTTGATACAAATATGCTCTTTAACAAGTGCAACAACTTTGAAGCTACCATCTCTCTTTTGAAGAGTTGCAGATATATACCATGGACAATTTGGAGCCTTACATATCACTCTTTGCTTGTCAGGAGCATTCCTCAACCATTTTGGTGCAAAGCCTTTGTATGTAGAATAGTGGAATAAAGCATTCTTGAACTGTAAGTGGTTTTCAAATTTCATCCCAAGTTCAAAATGTGGAATTTTACAACTAGGATCATAAACTGGACCTACTGTCTTCTCTCTAACAGCATCATCAGTTTCAAATAATTCAAGCTCTGAATTTGAGACATATTCCCCTGGATCATCACTGTCAATATAATCTGAGTCCCTCTCCCCTTCAGAACTCGCTATAGAAGTCCCCGAATCAGATAAAGTGTATTGATCATAACCTCCTAGATAGCAAGCTTCTTGATCCACCTTTTGCTTACCTTTGTCAAGGGTTATTGGAACTTCTATACCATCTGCAGGATCCAGAGCATGTGTTTGCTTCCAAAACTGAGCCTGATTCCCATATGCACTAATTAGCTCTTCATCATCTCTATCACTCAGGACATCTATCTCAACAAAAAACCCATCTCGAGTTCTTTGATCCATATCTGCATAAACACCACCATTAATGATACCACTTGCATTCCTACATTCAAGTCCAACGTGGTCCAGCTCTTCATTCATCAAATGCACATCAACTAATTCATTAACTAACTCTTCTTTATCAAAACTTAACTGCTCCAAATCAACATCTTCATTAACCTCATTAATAACATTAGCTGCATTAAATAGAATGTGCCCAAGTCCATTATGAACATAAATGTCTACAGAACCATGTTCAATTAAGTGCCATGCAATCTGTAATGCATCACCATCCGATTTAATTTCTACTAATCCATGCTCTAAATCAATTTCAAGAATTCTATAATATAGTTTTGTAAATTCTAGTTTCATATCCTCCCTTACAATGTCCCGAATCTCAAAATAGCTTAACTTGTCTTCATCAATATTGTCAAGGACATATTTATCCCCACCAACATACTCCAAATTGGGAACTTGGACGAAATTTCCTCCATGGAAGAAGGTCAATTTTTTGTCACCCATGCTGTAAAAATAAGTGGAAACACATATATAAACATTCCAACAAGATGTAAAAATAATTAAGAAAAAAGTTGGTTAAAGACGGAAACACTACCAACATCCCAAATCTAATGAGACACAATAAAAAAATATAAGTGATTAAGAATAAAAAAAAGTGATAAATTAAATAAATTGACCAAATTAAGTTAAAGAAATCATTTGCAATTAAGACAAAAAGTTTAAATCAGAAAATAAATTCAAGAATTAATAAAAATATTAAAATCATTCAACAACTCAAATAAAACCACATAATCATACCTGTATGCTGTTGAATCCACACAGAAATATAAAGAAAAGTTGTTTAAAAGATCCCACCAACTAGTAAAAGCCTCAAATTGACTTTTTGAAATTCTCAAAAGTCGTTTTCCATTGACCTAGTTACAGACAAAAGTTTTAGGGTTTTTATATTAAATAAGTATAAACTAGTCAAAGATGGAAAAGGAGATAGTGGGAAAAGGAGTCTTGTGGGACCCACCTAGTCTGTGAAGGGTAAGATCTGCCATAAAATGCCACGTTGGACAAGTTTTTTATGTTTAGCATTATGGGTCTAGTTGGCATGCCACATATTGTATAGTTTAACGACATATTTACTTTTACTTTAATGAATTTATCTAGTGTCCATGTTAAAAAAGTAATAAACATATTATTTTATAATTAATTTATATAAAAAATTATAAAAATTGATATTTATTTTAACACTATAATTACATAAACAATTTAAATTAATTAATTAATTAAAATTAATATTTATAATTTTATATAAATTAATTATAAAAAATATAATAAATACATTTTTAATTGGCAAAACATGTAGATCACCCCCTTAACTCACCCACTGGTGGCAAATCACCCCCTCAACTCCCTGTAGTGGCAAATCACCCCCTTTGTTAATGCCGGCATCATCCTTTCGTTAGCTTTTAATAGTCCGTTCACCCGCCCCTCTTCTGTGTCTGATGTGGCATTTTTCGCTAAGATGGATGCTGAGATAGACAAGCCACCTGGACAAATCACCCCAAAATCATCAGATCAAGCAAATTTCTTGGCAGGATGGTGGATGATTTGCAAAATCCCTAAGGCATGAGAAATTGGGAATTTTTTTGGAGTTAACAAAAAGATTACAAGTTTGATTTACAAAGCCAAACTGTAAAGACAGAGAAAGTACATAGACACATGCTTTTGAAGTATACTTTGAAAGATTCTGAAAGTCACATCTTTTGAAGGCTCGGTGTGGATGTTGAAGCATTGATCTTGTGGTTACTTTGGAAAATCTCAATATTTTTTCCTAGTAAGCGTCACTTTATGGAATATTTACATGGATTGGCTTTGAAAAGTGGACAACTCCGTTTTGTCATTGATCCATGGTTAAACAATTCAAAAGTGTATTCTTTTTGACAATTACAATGCCATGCTTGTTGTGTGGTCCTATGTTTATTTTTGAACATAAATTGCCCAGTAGTCCCACATGCTGCTTAAATTATGTGTGTCCACATTCTTCTTGTTTATTTTTTTTTCCCATTTGTCTTTACATGTTTGTACAATTTTTATACCTGCAGGCTGAATACATTGGAGTGATGACCATTTATCATGAGGGAACTTTTGAGCTTGACCCACCCATTGATTATGTTAGTTGTAAGTTGTCTTCATTTGGTGTGCATGAAGAAAAAGTTTCGATGGCAGAAGAAATAATTAGTATGGTGCATGGGTTAGGATATGGAAATATTTTTGCCAATTTCATTTATTACAAGTCCCCTCTTGTTAAATTAGATGATTTGAAGTCACTTATCCATTCGGATTGTATTGATGACATTGTTAGTATTATTTAGAAAAACTGTGAAGTAGAGATATATATTGACCATGACAGTGGGGGTCCAAATTCTATTAATAAGTTCGTTGGTGATGTGCATGGGTTTGGTATGGGTATTAATGAGAAAATAAATGAAGATGTAGGGGTCATTACCCAAGTTGCAAATGAAATTTCTGCACCTATAGAACGCGATTCTAATTTTGTAGCTCATGCTTATACCGATGACTCTGTTGATGAAGAAAAAGAAAATGAGTCAAAGTTGGAAGATGATTTTGCTTGCCCTGTTGGAACTGATAGAGATGATGATGAATGTGTTGTTGTTTTTAATAAAGCTAAATCATTATTAATAAGTACATGGGCTGTAAACCTAGTTGAGCATAAAGGTGAAAAGCAAACTGTTATTGAGGAGTATGGAGGAGGTCAAAAGCAACAAGTGGGAATCGGAGCAACTTCTAATCCTTCTATTGATGCATTAACTTCTAATCCTTCTATTGATGCATTAACTTCTAATCCTTCTTCAAAAGCAGCAACTTCCAATATTTCTAATGTTGATAAGGAAAGGGCAAGGAAGGAAAGAGCAATTGCTCTTAGTAGGAGGTACAAGACTCTTAATATTGCTAAGGTTGTTGTTAAGGGTCAAGCTACCTTTACTTTCACTGACCATGTGTTGCAATCTCAATTACCTGTTGATAATCATCAATATTCTGATGGGAAAGATAAAGACAATGAAGGGAGAAATAGTGATGATCCAGGTTGCTTGTACTCGAATCCCTCTTTTGAAGAGGAAGATGAGTTTCATTTGGCAATTGACTTACCTTCAATGGGACCAACTGACATTTACTTCAATCCAGAGTGGGAAGTTCCTTGGTTTCAAGTAGGAATGAGATTTACAAATGCAAACCAGTTTAGGGATGCCATCAGAAAGCATTCAATTATGAAAAGGTGTAAGTTGAAGCCTATAAAAAATGAGCCTCACAGATTGAGATATCGCTGTATAGGTGCAGGTTGTGAGTGGGAAATTTTTGCATCAATGGACAATAAAGCTAACTACATTCAGGTGAAGACATACAAAAGAGAGCATGACTATTTCCGGGCAAGTAAAATTTCTGCCATGACAATGCATGAACTTGCAAAGTATTGGAAAAGAAGGATTAGGGAAACTCCTTTCATAGCATGCAAGTTTATGATGGAACAGACATATGCGGAGTTAAGGGTGGCTGTGCATTTTGACAAGTGTGTGAGGGCAAAAAGAATGGTCATGAAAGAGCTGCGAGGCAATTTTAAAGATGAGTATGCCATGCTACCTAGTTATGGGGCTTACTTGTCAAACCTTAATCCTGGTAACATAATTGAAATTGTTAAGGATATGAATGAAAATGGTGACTGCGTCTTCAAAAGAATTTATGTTTGTGTAGGGGTTGTGAAAGAAGGGTGGAAAAATGGATGCAGATATGTGTTAGGGGTGGATGGTTGTTTTTTGAAAGGAGTCTGCAAAGGTGTGTTGTTGTCTGCTGCTGGTTGAGATGGAAACAATCAGATGTATCCTATGGCTTGGGCCATTGTTGAGGGAGAAAATATGGATTCATGGGAGTGGTTTTTTTGGTTATTAAGGAAAGATTTAGATTTAGATAGTGGTAAAAACTTTACCTTAATATCTGATGAGCATGTGGTAAGTTTGAGCCTACAATAAAGCTTACTTTTTTTTCCTCTTTTGATAACTTGATAAAGTATTAATCATATTTCTTTCTTTTTTTAGGGAATTAAACATTCTAGAGATGCTGTATTTCCTGATTCAGAGCACAGGTATTGTGCTCGTCATATCTATTGCAATTTGGCTAAAAAAAGTAATGTTCATAGTACTGATGAGTTCAAAATTGCATTTTGGAACTGTGCAAAATCTACATTTCCAGAAATTTGGAGAGAGAATATGGTGAAACTAAGGGCAATTTCAGATGAAGGTTATGCTCAATTAATGGAGAAGGATGGTAAGTTCTGGTCTAGAGCATTTTTTCAATGTCATTCAAAGTGTGATTCTGTAGACAATAGCATGTCAAAAACGTTTAACTCTTGGATCCTTAAACCACGATATAAAGCACCAATTAGCATGATTAAGGAGATGATAGAGATGTGCACTGAACGACGTAGGGATAAAAAGTTCAGTGCATCTAGATGGTCTATTGATGTGTCCCCTAGAGCTCGAGATAGACTTCATATGGATCTTTTCCATGCATGTGGTGTGTTATGGCCTGGAGAAACTAATTTTTAGATTTATGATGGGCTACAGTCATTCACTCATGTAGTTAATTTTCAAGAAAGAACATGCAAATGTAGAGTTTGGCAAAGCACTGGTGTTCCTTGCCCACATGCACTGCATGCCATAAGTTATCAAGAGTGGAATCCAGATGACTTTATTGATGTTAATTTAAAGAGGGAAAAGTACCTAGCAACTTATGGACAACCATTGGAATGTAGTAGAGGCGAGGAAGTGTGGAGGCAGTTTGATGGGGAAAAGTTGCTCCCACCTATTATGAAGAGCATGCCTGGTAGGCCAAAAAAGAATAGGAGAAAGGCAAGGTTTGAGCCTAAGAAGATTTAAAAGGGAAAGAAGGCCATAATTTCAAAGAAGGGAACAATTGTGATACATTGCAAGATTTGTGGAGGAAAAGGCCATAATAAGAAAGGATGTCCAGTGAAGAATAAAGAAGAATATGAGCAGTTTGTTAAGGAAACTCAAGGGACAATTACTGTAACATCTAGCTTTACCAATGCTAAGAAGGTATGTAATACTTTGTTATTTATAAAATTGATGATAATTTATTATGTGACTAAAAAAAAATTTATTCATAAGGAAAAATGAAAAAAAGTAATTGTGATGGAGGTCAAGGTGCAAATAGTGTTGGTAAGGTAAATCATTAGATGTTTTGAATTAGTAGGGGAAAAAAAATGCAAATTCTAGTTTCCTATTCATTTTGGTTTTGGTTGGTATCCATTCTGGTTTTGGTTGATATTAAATTGATGTGGTTCTGGTTTCTTATCCATTCTGGTTTTGGTTGGTATCCATTCTGGTGTTGGTTGGTATTAAATTGATGTGGTTTTGCTTTCTTTATTTTTACAGGCAAAGAAAAAGAGAGGAAATTTTGAAACAAAATAGAGGGCAAAGAAACAGTGTTGATTGGCACTATAAAAGGATGATTTTGGACAATTTTGGACAAGAGATGAAGTGATATTTTGTTTGGAAAAAATGATTATATTATATTTATAAATTTGGCATTTTATAAAGAAAGGTGATGATATTTTGTGACAGTAGGCAGTATTTTCTGGTTTATTTTCTTGTGACAGTAAGCAATGTTAACTGGTATAATTCAATTTGACAATATACAAGAATGAGCCAATGTTTCCACTGGTATAATTTTGTGTGATAGTAGAAAAAAATGAGACATGTTGTCTTCTCTAAATTCCTGTGACAGTTGAAAAAATGAGACATGTTCACTGCTATATTTAAATCATGGCTATATTTAAAATCATTCACCTTGCTGCCATCAGCCTTCAGTCATGTGAATCTATAAAAACAGTTGTGCTCTTTTGTGAACTGGTTGAATGAAACCTTGAGGACTTCTTCTCCTCCCCGAGGGGCATATCTTTAAATTTGCTTGTTGTTTGAATTGTTGATCATGTTTAAAGCTTTAGTTAAAGGTTCTATCTCGCCTTTCTTTTTTTGTTGCTAGTCAGATCTATATTCTTGACCTTGGTTAACCATTAAAACTCAGTTGAAAAAATTCCTGTGACTTGAAAAAATGAAAGATGTTTCCCGTGACAAATACACTTTCCTGGTATACAATTTCCTGGTATTTTGCAATTTCCTGGTACATATCATCAAAAGCAACAGGATATAAACAAAAGTATATTTCCATTACCAATTTGCACAATTCATGGTACAATATATTCTTATTCTATGGCAGGCAAATTTAACACTTGATTTCTCATTACAAATTTCATCATGATGGCAAATAATATTGGCAATACACAAGATTCAACAATTACACATGGTTTGCCAAAAGCCTTTTTGTTGTCAACCTTTTTCATAAGGCCATCTGTTTTCTTGTCCAAACTGTCAATTGCCTCCAAATGCTTATCCATATCCAACATTTTCTGCTCCATGCCTCCAAACTTATCTTCAGAAAACTTAACCATACTCACCATTTTCTGCTCCATGCTACCAAAATTATTCTGCATATCCTTCTCCAGAATTTCTATTTCCCCCCCCCCGTAACAGTCATTTTGTTCAGTTATCCATATCGTGGTTTTATTTTTTGAACCACCCTGTCCATCAATGATGCAACACAAGCACCAGTATAAACCATAGGCCCGCCTTTCCAACCAGCAGAGATGAAGAAACTGCTGTGATGTTTCCAAAAATCTGCATATCAGACAAGGACAAAATTTTATTTTTCCTATGAAACTAAAGAAATAAAGCAGAAGGTTGTCTCTCTCCAACTTGCAAGAAGAGAGCTTTAAGCCAACAATTATTACAAAATTTAAACCCACTAATCTACACTTGAACCATTTGGCCACACTTCAAGTTAAATACTGCAGGGATTTTTCACAGAATAATAAGCCATTACAGGATCCCAATTTACAATGACAAAACAGCGGAAGATATCGGAAAATCTATAGTGCTGAAAATTTTCTAAATTAGAACTAGAAAGTGTTGAAAACGCGATGAGAAATTGCACCTGCTTCGTGGCTCTCTCTTTTTAACGCCACGTCGTATTTGATCGCTTGTGACGGTACGTAAATTATGAAAGAGGAAAGTAGGAGTATATTTGTTCTGAGAAGCTAGCAGAAATAAAACCATGTTTTCATTGATGATTCAGACACTACTAGAAAAATAACGTATACGGACCAAACATATACAAATCGAATAGTATCGGTCTGAAAAAATAAATATTCGAACCAATATCGGTTCGAATATATTCAGGTGGTACAAAATATACTACTGAACATATTTGGACCGGTATCGGTCCGTATATTTCTGGCGGGAATCCACAGTATAAAAACGCCAATAATATTCAAACTGAAAACGGTTCGAATATTATTTCTGAAAAAAATAAATATTAAATAACAAAAAATATGAATAAAATATTATTTAAATGAATATAAACGAACCGGCTTCGGTCTGTATATATCCATATATATCCATTAGAAAATAGGAAATTTCATTTTTATATTCAGACCGATTTCGGTCCGTATATTTATTATTTTCGTAAAAGATAAAGATTAAATGACAAAAATTAGGAATGAATTATTATTTTTAATGAAAATATACGGACCGATATCGGTCCGTATATATTAATTTATTATACGATCAGGATCGGTCCGTATATATGTATCCGGACCGATCCCAGTCTGAAAATTTGCGTCAGGGAATCTCTGAATTGATTGGACACTGGGGCCCACCCACAGTTGTTTTCGGACCGGGATCGGTCTGGATAAGGCCGC